ACGTGTATATATAGCAATATGAGTATTGAAAGGATGTAGAATACTGACCTTGTTTAAACAGCCTATAGATAAGGTACTTTTATACCTATAAGTTCATTTTCAGATTTGGTTTTCATATGTTCAGGGTGCTGGGCTGTGGGTCTGACCACTTCAGCCTGCTGTTCTTGCTCTGTGCCCAGCATTCCTGCCGTGTGCTGGGTCCTGCGCAGGGGCTCCGCTGTGCTTCAGAGGTACATGTAGCATGTGTGCATATTTTTATTTACCTCTTGTTTTGCATTTTTAAACATTTAGCATATTGGAACAGGATTCCAGGAGAACAAATCCTAGTGTGAACCCTGCAAATCAAAGGAGGCATCTTCTTGGATTTTCCGCTAAGGAGTCGCAAGACCCGCCTGACAGCATCATCCGGAAAGACAGCCACAGGTGAGATGGCGTGTGTGCTGAGCCACTGCAGTGAGGCTGCAGCAGGCCGGGTAGCACAGCTCACCCGTGGGCCACTGTATGCAGTTTAATCAGGAGAGCAAGCGGGTACAGGCCAGGCGTGCATTTCACTCACTGTTAAGATTGGTTCTGGGAGCAAGTTTGCTTTCTGAAACCTTTGCCTGTTTTAGAATTCTTGTAGAGATGTGCTCTTAGAGTCTCAGTTTTCCTGCACTGGTATACATCTTGAAACACACACAGTATATACATTAAATTATATGTGATGACTTTAACATTGTTATATTATTTACCATACTAGAGGCCTGATGCACGAATTCGTGCATGGGTGGGGTCCAGCCAGCCCACCCCAATGGGGGCCCATTGGGCTGGGCTGGCCTGGGGGAGGGACGGAGGGCGATTGGCCGGCTGGCCCGCCCCGGATCAGGGTGTTGGAGGCCAATCGGGGGCTGGGCCGGCTGGGGGTGGAGGGCCAATCAGGGCCCGGATCAGGCTGGTTGGCTCCGCAGTGTAGGTCATAGCCACCAGTCAATCTGGTCGTTCCGCCTTTCTGGTCACTGGGCTTTTATACATATAGATTTTACACATATAATGCATCTAATTGCTGCTGTATCGTCTCCCCTGCATGTGATGTGATGTGGTGGAATGACGTGGTTAAACCTATTTTTAATTATCAGACAAAATCATTCACACTTGTGTATTATGATCTTTGTTGAATTTTCCTCCTTTGTTACAATTTAATACTGTCTTGGTAAATTTTCATGTAGCTTTCCAATAGTAAAAGACATAATTTTTTGGAAATAGAATTTCTACGTTATGTTAACTAGAAGTTAACCACTTAGTGGAGTTAGTGACATTTTCAGAGCTGTAAACTTTTCAGTAAGCATTTCCCTGTGTTATTTGGAATTTTATTTATTTATTTATTTATTTATTTAAATTTTATTATTATTATTTTTTAAACGGAGCCAGGTCCTTGACTGACAGCAAATGACTGATGCTTGATGGCCATTGACCTCTCTGAGGTGGTACAGGCCACGGCCCATAGGGAGTCCTGCTGATGTTCACTGTTACACCCACACCACTGAGTGATTAGTTCCATGGTCCTGCAGGCTCTTCTTTGTTTAGCCTTCTTGGGAAAATGCTAGCACTCATTTATTCAGGTATCTGTGGTGTGTACTGTACTATGCTGTGTATGGCGGAGGATCCGGAGAATGGCATGGTGGTCACTGTAGTGCAGCAGAAACGTGACAGATGCCATGGTGTGGAACATACAGTAATCCTGACTTCTGACACACTGATCTTAGTGACCCCTTAACAGTGGCCCTGGCATTGCTAGAGTTTCATAGTGTCTTTTTTAAAAAATATATATTTTATTGATTTTTTACAGAGAGGAAGGGAGAGAGATAGAGAGTTAGAAACATCGATGAGAGAGAAACATCGATCAGGTGCCTCCTGCACACTCCCCACTGGAGATGTGCTCACAACCAAGGTACATGCCCTTGACCGGAATCGAACCTGGGACCCTTCAGTCCGCAGGCCAGCACTCTATCCACTGAGCCAAACCGGTTACGGCTTCATAGTGTCTTTAACTTTACTAAGTAATCTCTCCAAGTTTGCCGCACATGCTATGCAGTTTCGAGTTCTGTTGTCTACATGAGATACATCAAAGTGACATTTTTAAACTTCATGGTCTTTAGATTTATGAGAGTTGTGTTCCTTAGGTATGTGTAGCTTGTTGATTAGATACTTGACATCACAGTCAGGTGACCGTTACAAGACTTGTTTCACACCTGTTGTCCACGTTGGAGCAGGTGGCTCCCAGAAAGGCGTGCTCAGGTCACCCTAGTTCCACCTGCAGGTCTTGATGACTTCCAGGTAACTGACAGTTTTCATAGTAGCACATGAAATGCAAGCCCTCTCTCTGACCCCACCAACGTCACCATTGCCCGTGCGGAGTAGGGTTATATAGGTCGTGGTAAAAATGAAAGAGATTATAGATTTTCTTGCTACAGGCAAGTCTCTTGAAATATCTAAGATTATTATTAAGCAACTTGGGAGATTTAACTAGATATCAGTTCAGTAAGTTGATGTTCTTGCTTTTATCATTGTAAATGCTGAATAAGAAATACCAAAAGTTTGCAAAACTTTTGAGATATGAATTTGTTTTTAACAAAATTTTAGGTGTTTTCTTTGTATTCTGCCAGGACACTTGTCTTCCTTCCTTCCTTCCTTCCTTCCTTCCTTCCTTCCTTCCTTCCTTCCTTCCTTCCTTTCTTTTAAAATCTTTATTGTTGAAAGTATTACATGTATGCCCCTTTTTCCCCTCATTGACCCCTTCCAGCCCTCCTCGGCCCCATGCCCCAGGCCTTCACCACCCTATTGTCTGTGTCTATGGGTTATGCATAAATATATGTATACAAGTTCTTTGGCTGATCACTTCCTACCCACCCACTCTCCCCTGCCTTTCCTGAGATTCCTCAGTCTGTTCTATGCTTCTATGTCTCTGAATCTATATTGTTCATCAGTTTATTTTGTTCATTGCATTCCACGTATGAGTGAGATCATGTGATACTTGTCTTTCTCTGACTTATTTCCCTAGTATAATACTCTCCAGGTCCCTCCGTGCTATCCCAAAGGGTAAGAAAGCCTTCTCTTTTACTGCTGCATAGTATTCAATGGTATAAATGTACCACAGCTTCTTTATCCACTCATCTACTGATGGGCACTTGGGCTGTTTCCAGATCTTTGCTATTGTAAATTGTGCTGCTATGAACATAGGGGTGCATACATTCTTTCTGATTGGTGTTTCAGGTTTCTTAGTCCTAGAAGTGGGAGCACTGGGTCAAATGGCAGTTCCACATTAAATTTTTTGAGGAAACTCCATACTATTTTCCATAATGGCTGCACCAGTCTGCATTCCCACCAGCAGTCTACTAGGGTTCCCTTTTCTCCACATCCTCGCCAGCACTTGTCATGTGTTGATTTGTTGATGGTAGCCATCTGACAGGTGTGAGGTGGTATCTCATTATTGTTTTAATTTGCATCTCTCTGATGATCAGGGACTTTGATAATTTTTTCATATGTTTCTAGCCATCTGTATGTCCACTTTGGAGAAGTGTCTATATAGGTTCTTTGCCCATTTTTTAATTGGATTGTTTGTCTTCCTTTTGTTAAGTTGTATGAGTTCCTTATGTATTTTGGATATTAACCCTTTATCAGATATATCATTGCCGAATATGTTCTCCCATACAGTGGGCTCCCTTTTCGTTTTGTTGATATTTTCTTTTGTTGTGCAGAAGCTTTTCATTTTGATGTAGTCTCATTTATTTATTTTCTCCTCAGTTTCCTTTGCCCTAGGAGATGTATCTGTAAACATATTGCTATGAGAGATGTCTGAAATTTTGCTGCCTATGGTTTCTTCTAGGATTTTTATGGTTTCCCGAATTACATTTAGGTCTGTTATCCATTTTAAGTTTATTCCTGTGTATGGGGTAAGTTAGTGATCTAGTTTCATTTTTTTGCATGTATCTGTCCAATTTTCCCAACACCATTTATTGAAGAAACTGTCTTGCCTGCTTTGTCAAATATTAATTGAGCGTAATGGCTTGGTTCGATTTGTGGGGTCTCTGTTCTGTTCTATTGATCTATATGACTGTTCTTGTGCCAGTACCAGGCTGTTTTGATTACAGTGGCTTTGTAGTATAACTTGATATCTGGTATTATGATTCCTCCAACTTTGTTTTTCTTTCTCAAGATTGCTGCGGCTCTTTGGGGTCTTTTTTCTGTTCCATATAAATTTTTGTAGTATTTGTTCTAGCTCTGTAAAATATGCTGTTGGTATTTTAATAGGGATTGCATGGAATCTGTAGATTGCCTTGGGTAGGATGGACATTTTAATGATGTTGATTCTACCAATCCATGAACACGGTATATTCTTCCACTTGTTTATATCTTCCTGTATCTCTTTTTTCAACATCTTGTAGTTTTCCAAGTACAAGTCTTTTACCTCCTTGGTTAAGTTTATTCCTAAGTATCTTACTTTTTTTTTTTATCTTACTTTTTTTGTAGCAGTGGTAAATGGGATTGTTTGTTTATTTTCTCTTTCTGATAATTCATTATTGGTATATGAAAAAACCATCGCTTTTTGGGTGTTGATTTTGTATTCTGCTACATTGCCAAATTCATTTGTTAAATCTAGTAGTTTTTTGATGGAGTCTTTAGGGTTTTCTATGCACAATATCATGTTGTCTGTGAATAATGAGAGTTTTACTTCCTCCTTTCCAATTTGGATGCTTTTTATTTTTTTCTTCTTGTCTGGTCACTGTGGCCAGCACTTCCAGTACTATGACACGCACTGACCACCAGGGAGCAGACGCTCAACGCAGGAGCTGCTCCTTGGTGGTCAGTGCACTCCCACAGGGTAGCGCTGCTCAACCAGAAGCAGGGCTCACGACTGGCAAGTGTAGTGGCAGCGGCGGGAGCCTCTTCTGCCTCCGCTGCAGGCGGGCAGTAAGGAGTGAGGGGTCCCAGATTGCGAGAGTCCTGGACTGCGAGAGGGCGCAGCCCGGGCTTAGGGCCTCCCCCCCCCCCCCCCGCCCCCATACCCCAGTTCACGAATGTCATGCACTGGGCCTCTAGTGTTGAATAAGAGTGGTGAATAAGAGTGGACATCACTGTCTTGTTCCTGTTCTTAGGGGAAATGATTTTAGTGTTTGCCTATTGAGTATGATGTTCTGTAGGTTTGTCATATATGGCCTTTATCCTGTTGAGATATGCTCCCTTTATTCCCAGTTTGCTGAGAGTTTTATCAAAAATGCATGTTGGATTTTGTCGAATGCTTTTTCTGCGTCTATTGATATGAGTATGTGATTTTTATCTTTCAGTTTGTTTATGTGATGTATCACGTTTATTGGTTTGCGCATATTGTACCAGCCTGCATCCTTGGAATAAATCCCACTTGGTCATGGTGTATGATCTTTTTAATA